ATTTACTAACATTAGAGCTATGCTTATATTTCTGGAATTCTACTTTTTGTTTTTTAAATGCTGATGTATTTGATTTATTAATATTTTATGTTGGTATTTTCCATCTATATTCATAACCGTTAGTTTTCTTTTGGGTATGTTCCTGTCTGATTTTGATATTAAGGTTATGTTCCTGTCTGATTTTGATATTGAGGTTATACTATCCTTTCCAAAGGAGTTTAATTCTGGGGTCTCTACTGAATATTCTGATTGTAGCAGCTTAGAACTGGAACAGCATCCTAGGGGAGTGCTGAGAATTTGCACCTTACAGGTAGTTGTCTTTTGTCTGGCCTCAGCCTGGGCCTGTGCAGATTAGTATCAGGCAGAGATTCATGGGGACCCCTGTGTAGATTTCTGGGTTGTCTCTGTGTGCAAGTCTCTTCTCTCCAGTTCTCTGCCCTACAGATTCTGGCTGCTTACCCTCCTGAGGCAGGTCTCTGTCTCCCCAGCTAAGCAAAACCAGTCAAGCTCTGATTGTTCTCCTCCCTGTGCCATGGTCCATAGAGTGCTTTCTGCAGAAGGTTTGGTGATTATAGGGCTCGCCTCATTTGATTCCCGTGTCTTAGGAAGCACAGTCTTGTGCTGCCAGTGGTCCAGTGTCCAAAAACAGTTGTTTTACTTTTTACGTCCAGTCTTCCGGTTATTTATGGCAATGAGGCTTGTTTGGTGACAGTTATTCCTTCATGACCAGCAGAAGAAATTATCTTTTTAACACAAACATTTTTTTACTCATTGCGTTTGGAATGGAGGAGGGTGGAGGGTTAATTCACTATGCTTTTTTGAGCAGAAGTTCATTTATAGGATTATCTATTTTATCAATTGTTAGGTTTTTTTCCCCTCCCTTTCTAGATCCTTTGCACAAACTGTGTATTTCCCAGAAGCTCTTTCTTTTTTTCCTGTTGCACCTGAACTTCTTAGGTTTTACCCCCTACGTTTGTATGAGAAGTTTAATAACTGATCATAGTTCCCACCAGCTCATTGTTCTCTTTGTCCTTGACTGGTCTGTTTCACTGTCACTAGCCTTCAGAGTTCTTCTAGAACATATCGGATCTGGCTTCAGAAACTGTTACTATGAGTAACTATGACATCCTGTTAAGTGTTACTACAGACCTTATATATTTGCAGAGTATATTTGAATATTAATTTTGATGAATAAACATCTGCTGTTCGATTGAAAAACTTGCAAACCAAGTCCGGAGGTGTAGCCATTATTAAGCAATGGATTAAGACCCAATTGACTGTCTTTCATTTATACATGTCCTTAAATCCCAGCATCATTTGGAAGGTAGTGGCTCTAAAGATTTATGTCAGCCAGTCAACCAAGATGAAGTGCAAACTCCTGACCCAGGGTACAGAAAGTTCTGCATAAGCTACTTAACCAACCTCCCATTTTATAATCTAGTTGGCAATTAGGAGATAAATCTGTAAAAAGATGACTAATAATACATGAGACTAATAATACATGAGACTAATAATACATGACAGCACGTGTGAAATGTGAAGCGGATGATTAAAGTGTGGGACAGGAGCCAGGTGGCACAAAGATCACGGTACGGTGGGCATGCTTTTGGGAGAGACTTCACCGAGAAGGAAGAGCTGGAAGGACTGAGGGCTGCTGACGCGCTCGATGGGTCTTGGGGCCTGCGTTTCTAGACAGGGCACCCTGTGTGCAGAGACAGGGACGTGGGACTCCCAGAGGACTGGCCAGCTTCTGCAGGGATGGACCAGTAGGAAACAAGGGTGGGAAGCGGGGTTTGGGCCAGATGTAGATGGTCTTGAAATTTTCCCATGGGCAGCTAAAATGTGTTGAAAGTTTTTGAATGAAGGGGAAAAAAAAGGATTCAAAAAGCAGCATTTTAGGAAGACTAGTTTGTCAGCAAGTCTGGATTAGGATTTTGTTCCCTAACTTACTGCTTCTCAGACTTGGCTGCACATTGCAGTCACCTGGGGAGTTAAACGACCGCAGCCTGGGGCCCTCCCCAGAGACTCTAATTTAGTCCATCTGGAGTTCGGCCTGGGTTTCAGAAGTTTTAAAAGCTCCCTGGGTGATTCTAATGTGCAGCCAAGCCTGAGAACTACTGCCCAGCCCACTGATAAGATCGTGATGTGGCCTAACTCAGTGTGTTGAACCCCAGCACAGTGTCTGGCCAGGCAAATGCAGAACCGACTGGTGGAAAAAACCCATTTTAACAGTACGCCTGTGACTTTATTTATAATATTCCACGCAGTCCAACACCTCAGTTATAATAGTTTTGCCTTTACCAATGCCTACAATTTTTTTTTTGCACTGGCCATGAAGTAGATGGTGACAAATATAGTTTTGGAAATATATAGACATGGAAAATGTACCCTCATTTGCATTAAAAATAAAAGGACAAGATAAGACAAATATTTTCTTCATAGCTAAGAATTCAGCAAAATAAAAGCAATTATGTGAAAATTGCATATATAAAAATATAAATCCTCAAAAACTTACAGGTGGAAGACTGTCAATTTCCAAATGTTATCTGTCAGTGGCTCTCACACTTGAGGGTACATTGGAATCAACTGGAGGGTAGTCACACTTTGTGGGTTCCCATTTCAGATTTAGCAGGCCTGGGGCAGCCCAGGAATGTGTATTTGTGACGTGTTTCCAGGTGACGCTGCTGTTGTTGGTCTGGGTATCATGCTTTGAGAACCATTCCTGACTGCATGGGTCCAGATATTACAGGAAAAATGGCTTGATAAAAATGTGATTCAAGGACATAAGTTTTGCTTTTTCATGTCAGATGAAGGGCTTGTCTTGGCATTTAGGGACCCTGTCCCCTTTCCCACTTCAAGCCAATCTCTCTTCATCTGTGTGCTCTGGGGGCTAAAGGGTGGTATTGTATAATATATAGCCATACTATTATATAACATATTCTTTTTCTTCTAGTAAAAAATATTTGTGAGTTCAAAGTATTTTTTTCCTTTTGCTATTCTCTGCCTGCCACCCCCCCCCCACCTACTACATGCAAAATTTGAAGAGTTAAAAATAATTGCTACCCGCTTACATTTCCAGTCCATCCATGGATGGATGAGACAGGTCCCTGTGGCACGCTCTCAGTGGTGTGTTGGACGTCAGTCCTTGGCCTCCACATAGCTGCTGGCTTTTGCAAGCTGCTCAGTGCAGCCCTCCTGGTGGATGAGAAGACATTTGCAGTACACCTTGGGAGGGAGGAGAAGCGGAAATCATTCTCAGATGTTAAACTTCAACATGTTTCTAATTGAAAGCATGAAGAGAATGTATACATGAAAGTGCCTAGGGGGGTGATCTTTGGCGGAGGCACGCTTTGAGAGCCCAGTCCAGTCCTTGCTGTGGCTTCTGTTCTCCTGGGGGGAGCCCATTCCCGCTCCTGTGACATTCCATAAATAACCGTGGCTGAGCAAAGTTATCTCACGTCCAGAGTTAGCTCCATCCGTCGAGAAGACTGTGATAAGTTAGAATCGTGAATTCTAGAAGCATATAGCTTTTGAATTTGAATTCGAGAAGCATAATATGGGAACAGCCCTTGGGGACCATTTTAAAACAAGTAGCTACTGCTCTACTGCAGACCCTGAACCCACACAGGTGCAGAGGCCAAGGTTAAGTGACTACAAGGTCACCGAGGGAGCTGCTCGATTTTCTCTCTTTCTTTCTTTCATCCTTCCCAACATTTTGAAAATTTTGTCAGCCTAGTATTCTAACACTCAAGGGCCATTTTTAAATCATTATTTGCTATAGCTAGTAGGAATAATATTGTAGAAAGATGGGAGAAGTATCTTATCTCTTTTATAGAAATCAATAGGTTTCAGGGCTGTGAAGTCTTGGTCATTTGGCCCTTAATAACTAAGTCTTCTGAGGTTCACTTTGTAATTGTTTTGACTTGCATTGACTTTTGTGGGCGATGTGGCAGTGTGATCTGCCCCAGGACAAGCGTTTAAGTCCAAGGTTGGCTGATAGCAAAGGGGCAGCATGATAAATATATTTGAACAAATAAATAAGGGACCATGGGAATATGCCCCTAGGTCTATGATAAAACCTGATAAAACTTAAGTCAGTAACATCTAAACTCCCTGGAGACCTTGCCTATCATAAAATCCACTTACCTTAGCCCTGGCTGCCAGCCCTGCTAAGTCTCAAACTCTGCTTGGTCACAAGTCTGGTGATTCAAATTATTGACATCTTAGCAAATAGGAGATGAAGTTGTTGTTTCTTTTTGGTTGCCTTTCATTATAAAATTAGGGATGGTGTACAATGCACTGGAGTTTTGTACCAACTAGCAGGTATATATTGGATGACTTTCAACCTTTCTGCCCTTGGTTTTCTCATATGTCAAAGCATGGATTGGACTAAATTTCTAAGACAGTGTCTCTGTGCTCCGATAGCCTATACACGGCAAAGTCTATAGTAGAGCACTTTTAAGGATTGGGCTTTTGTTATTTGCCAAGTTGTGTCAAAAAATTTAAGCTTACGGATTTAAAATTAAACTTAAATTCAAAATTAAGCCATGGAGCACAACTTAAAAATAATGGCAGAGCATTTTCTTAAGATTTTTTCCTGTGTTTTCTGATGCATTTTGGGGAGGCGACCATAGTAAAGTGGTCAAGAATGGTGTCTTTGGAGCTGGCTCAAATCCCAGCTTTTATATTCACTAATAATTGTGTGACCTTTGGCAAATTACTTAACCTCTGGGTCTGTTTTTTTATCTGTAAAATGAGCAAAATAAAATATCTATTAAAATGGTTGCTGGGGATTAAATTTGTTGATATATATTAGAATAGTGTATGTCACATAGGAAGCCATTAATAAATATTAGTTACCATTATCATCATCGTGCTGCATGTTTTAAGGGTGGTTTTATTTTATTGGAGAACAATCTGATACTACTGTTAACCCTTTGGAAGCATTAGAAAGTCTACAATGCTTTTCTTCAAAGCTCTGTCTTGTGTTGTCTCTGCAGCGAGCTGCGTTCCACCGTGCCAGAACGGAGGGATGTGTCTCCGGCCTCAACTCTGTGTGTGTAAACCGGGGACCAAGGGCAAAGCCTGTGAGACAATAGCTGCCCGGGATACCTCGTCGCCTGTCTTTGCAGGACAGAGTCCTGGGGCTGCCTCCTCCTGGGTCCCTCCTGAGCAAGCAGCAAAGCACACTTCGTCTAAGAAGGCAGACGCTCTACCGAGAGTCAGTCCTGTGGCCCAGATGACCTTGACCCTCAAGCCGAAGCCTTCAGTTGGACTCTCCCAGCAGATACGTCCTCAGTGAGTGTTTTGAACTTGCCTCTGGTTAAGGAGCATCTTAATTGCTGTCTTGGATGCATCGCTTTAAATCACTTCCCTTTTCCTGCACAATTTGCAGAAATCATTTGGATAATAATGTCTTTCTTTTCCCAAAGGCTTTACATATTAGGTTTACATATCAAGTCTCTTAAAAATATTTGATGTTTGTATTTAGCCTCTGCATGGAAAATTTACTGCAAGTATACATCATAGCAATAGTGAGGGTTATAGGGATCAAGTTTGGGAGGGAATGATGAAGATAGTGGTGAAGTTGTGAGTTTTAAAATTCTTTGTTTTTTTGTGGAGGATGTGCTTTAGAGTTTTGAAATAATTTTAAAGAGAGAAACAGTGAGTGTGATTTTTAAAAGATACATGAGAAAGATAGGAATTCAGCTTTGCACAAAGAAGGTATTCAAATGAAAGTGAGTCCATGGAAAGAGATAGTTTCTCAACCTCAGTAGCAGGTTAAGTGTATCTTCTGTTAACACCATGTTTATCTTCCAGTTGCCATGCAGCCCATTTTTGGTGAATGAGCTTGTTTTCTATTTATGGGTACATGGGTTTTTTTTTTCTTAGCGTTAGGAAGTAAGTGCTATTCGGAACAAAATGAGAATTTTGGATCAGAAAGATTATTCCTGTCCTCCTCTGAGTTGTATTATAAGGAGCCCTTCAGCTGTACTGGGTTCTTACACAAATTGTCTCTGCTTAATTAGCTATTCTATATGGATACTAAGCTGCAGAATTTACTGCAACTATCACTTGTCATTTGTCAAGGAATGTAAAATACAGGAAGTTCCCAACTTAAAAATGGGCTTGACCCAGCAGTTCATTTGTAAGTCACTCACTTGGAATTTCAGAATGTTCTTTTCCTCCATAGAGACAGCTTCCACGTGGTGGTTAGTACCCAGTCAGCCCACAGAGGTTATTTAATCTGTTACTATAGATGAAATTATCCTAATTTATACTTCCTCGTAAAACAGGCCACCTACTATTTCTGCTGAGTGGGGTGTCTATAACTTTTCCTTTCTCTTCCCTCCTTAATCCTGTTTTTTTCCTATTTTTCTTCATTTTTCTCTTATTTCTTCTTATAATACTTCAGTTCTACCATGATAAATAGATTTGGGGGTTAGTTTGACGTCTAACCACTTTGCATTTCCATTGGAAAACACATCCTGTAGGTCTCAGCAAGAAGGAATGGGAGGTATCATGAATACTTAGGAAAGGCTTATTGTGTGCCAGGTACTGTTTGACATGCTTTGTATGTATAATTAATTTACAACTCACAATGACTCTATAAGGTAGGTGTCATTATTAACCCCATTTTACAGATGAGAAAACTGAGGTGCAGTATGGTTAAGTAATTTGTTCAAGATCACACAGTTAAGTGATAGTTTTAGAATTTAAGCCAAGATAGGTTACAGCATTCATGTCCTAAAGGAAAGGATTGGCAAACATTTTCTGTAAAGCTCTGGATAGTAAATATTTTTAGCTTTGTAGGATGTACGTTTTCTGTTGAAGCTACTCAGTTCTGCCTTTGAAGCACAAAAGCAGCCGTACACAATGCCTGAATGAATAAGCATGACTGTGTTCCAATAAAACTTTATTTATGGGCACTGAAAGCTGAATTTCATATAAATTCACAGGTCATGAAATAGTCTTCTTTTGATTTTTTTTTCTCAACCATTAAAAAAGATAAAAATCATCCTTAACTTGTGGGCCATACAAAAACAGGCTGTGGGTCAGATTTGGATAGTTTGCTAACCCCATCTCTAAAGGATAGCAATGCTTCTTGTTGGGTGCCAGAACATGAATGTAACTGTGTGTCCTTGGAGTGACACAAAGCTTTGACTATATCGTAGCTAGACATCTCCCTTCCAGCGTTGTTCTGGATCTTAAAAACAAAGAAACAATTCTGTGTTGAACTGTGCTCTGGCGATCAAGAGTCAGATTACTGTGTAGTGCAATTATTTTTCTCTAGCATTATTACTTACATAAACTGTGAAGTAATTTACAAGCAACATCATTCATCTCGAATATCACCCTCCGCTGTTAGAATTTGGCCCTCTATAATGTGTATATATGGATTGTTAGTAAGAACCATATGTTGGATGTCAGATAAAGGAACAGTTTTTTTCCCCTTTCTTCTTTTGGTAGCAGCAGTATAATTTAGACAAGAATTCTGTGAGTCAAAGAGGAGGCTAAGGTTTCAGCTCTGATTTGGCTTTGGGAAAATAAAGTCGTTGGGTAATTTGCTTCGGAGACTTCATCTGCTGAATGAAGATGCTTTTTATGGTAGCATTTGTTACAGGCATCTGTATATGGGCATGCCTACTGCGTGCTTTGGGGTAAAGAGAAGAGATGGTCTAGGATGCTGTCACTTCTGATATTTACTTAATAAATGATTATAGATTGCCCCATTATCTGGTTCCTGCAGGGAGGATTAAGATGTACAGGAGTGTCCTCACAACGTGGCCTTTGGCTTCTCCCAGAGTGAGTGATCCCAGACTAGGGGGAGCAAGGAGAAAGCCACAGTGCATTTTTAGTCTGTGGTCTTGAAGGTGACACACCTTTGCTTTCACCTTATTCTCCTCATTAGAAGTGAGTCACTAAGTCTAGTCCTCACTCAGGGAGAGTGGAAGTAAGCTGCACAGCTTGAAGAGAGAAATATCAAGGACTTTGTGGACATTTAAAAATGATCACATTTAGTATCCCAAGAATGGAAAAATAAGCACCACATGTACTCACCATCAAATTGGTTTCACTGATCAACACCTAAGTGCACATATAGGAATAACATTTATTGGGTGGACAGATGGGAGGGGAAGGAGGGGATGGGTATATACACACACAATGAGTGTGATGTGCACCATCTGGGGGATGGACACGCTTGAAGCTCTGACTGGGGGGAGGGCAAGGGCAACATGTGTAACCTAAATATTTGTACCTCCATAATATGCTGAAATAAAAAGATCACATTTAGGATATGATTTGATTGGAACTCGATAAAGATGAAGACTAGTGCAAATATAAGGTAACACGAGGCTTTAAAATATAAGGTTGAAAAGCAGACTAATGACTAAGATTTCAACCAAAAAATCCTAAAAAAACCACAGAACAAAATAGAAAAAAAAAAAAAGCAATGGGGAAAGGACTTATAGTTTCAAAAAGTCTTAAGAAACACATTAACCAATCACAATTTTGGATTATGTTTCTATCCTGATTTAAGCAAACTGAAAATAAAAGAAAAAGGTAACAATGATGAATTATAGGACAAGCATGAACATGCTAATAACGTTGATAGACAATTTGATGATAAAAGAGAATGGTCCTTGATTTTTGAGGGCTGTGATGATGGCCTTATAGTTCTATGTTTGTAAGGAGGAGAACCTTACAAAAGTATTTACAGATGAAATTTTGTGATGTCTGAGATTTGATTCAAAATAACCCAGTTGGTTGGGGTACAGAGGTCATAAGATTGGTTATGAAGTGGTAATTATTGAAGCTGTGTATTGGGTACATGGGGCTTTCTTACTGAATTCTCTGTTTATATTTTTGAAATTTTCTGTTTGAAAGCATAATAAAGTTTCAAGTAGGAGAATGCTACCATTTGTGCTTTGGAAGATTAATCTGGCGGTAGTATTTAAAATGGATTAGAACCAGTAGGAATTGCAGGCTGGCTGTGTAGCAGGTGTGGTACTAATGGGATGGAGAGGAAGAAAGTGAACTCAGGAGTGATTAGAAATGAAAACTCTTGGCACCTAATTGAATGTGGAAGGCAAGGGGAGAGAGAATCAGGTATGGTCCAGGCTTGCGACAGTGGGAGAGAGGGAGAATGTGGGGGTCTTTCCATCCTGCCATTTTTTGAGGATTGCTTTAGTAAGATCATGGATCTCCAAGGTCTTTGAAGGTGTTGGATGCTTGGTAAATAGACGCTGTCTGACAAAGCTTTATTGTTTAATAGCTAAGCTCATCCTCCGTACCCCATTAGGGACTAAAAGCAAGTGGGTATCAGTAGTACATGGCTGGCCACTTGGTCAGGTATTGGTTTGGAAAGTCTTTGGCCAGGGTATTCCGGTAGTAGTCATTGTTGTAGTTGCTCATTTCATTCATGCTTTTCACTGAAGTTTATTATTATGGTGTTACTCTTTCCAGTTTCATGGGCCACATCCTGGCTACTCCATGAGCTGATGAAAAGATCAAATGATGCCTCTTCTCGTATATAAATTTTCACAGTCATTTTTCAGATTCTGTGAACTTTTATGGCTCTTTATTATACCGGGTTCCTTAGGAAGCCCATATTAAAACTTGAGGTCATGATCATAATTGCATCATATAGATGTTATTCAAATGTTGTTGTGAATGTGTTCATCCAAGAATTGCCACTATTAGATTGTAGGTGCATCCTAGGAATCGGTCTGTGGTTCTATTTGTAAAAAGGTGTTAATGCTTATAAGTTATGGGTGGAAGGATCGACAAAGGAGAAAATTCAAAACCATTCAGCTTCCTAGAGCTGTCAGCATCATTATTCACATAGGCATTGAAGTTCTCCATAAAAGTTTGTTTTCAACTCCCAGTGCTATTAAATGAAGCTGTCTTAGACTTGTGTAAAATGCCCATTTTTTTTTTTCATCGCTTCTTGGCCCTTTGGCTAAGATCAAGTGTAGTATCTGTTCTTATCAGTTTAAAATGCCCATTTTTATCCTTGCTAGTTGTGATGGATGTTGTAGGCACTGACCATGGGACCACGAGGCAGAGGTCATAAGGGACATTCTTTAGCTGCAAATGCCTTTTGGTTTTGTAGAGAATGCTGGGACCTGTTATCTGTGCTGTGTGAGAAGGAAGCACTTTTGCAGGAGACAGTGTACCCAGTCCCCCCTCTTTGAGCTTGAGAAGGAAGTCTGGTTTTACTCAGGATATGGATGTCAGATCTATCTAGAGAGCTCACACATACCCAGTCTGTCTTTCTTCCCTGCTGATGGCTG